ACAGTTAAAAACCTTTCAAAACCCTTAAACATTTTCTAATATGTTTACAACTATTGACTTTCTGAGGGCTAATAGCCTGGCTGAGCACATAGTAAATCTGAATCGAAGGACATACTCCGCCAGGTATCAAGTTGTCTCCAAACAGAAATGTTCAGAAGGACATACTCTGCCAGGTATCAAGTTGTCTCCAAACAGAAATGTTCAGAAACTTGACTTTTTTCCTATATTTTCCTTGGTCCCACTGTCCCAAATGCTGACAGATTTTCTGAAGGGGCTCTGGGAAGGATAGCCTTAAGACCAGGGAAAGCAGTCAGTCCAAATTCTGCAGAGGCCAAAGGTGCCCACCACTGTGGAGGTTGTTCTCTTCCTCCCACATGCTGACTATAGTGCTTTTTCTTAACTCTAGATGGAAGGTGGGGTTTGCCCTGATCAAGCCTGGTACTTACCCCATACAGCAGCTGAACAGTGCCATACTACCATAGGCATTGATGGCTATTCAGGCTTCTGCCTACTGTCTGTCTAGCCTTTCTGCAAGGAGAACAGATCATCTTAAGCCACTATTTATCTCCGAGTACAATCTGGAAGGAAATATATTGGACTGTACAATATTTTATCTGCTAACACTTACCTCTGATTGCAGTAACTACACTGGTTAACTTACAAGAAAACACCATGTGGAGCTATCTTCAACTATTTGAATCTAAACTGTGTTATCTGAAAAAGATCTTTCTTTGGCTCCCAGCCCTGGTTAATAGCAGGAGTTTTCAGCTAACAAGGGCCTGGAGGTTTTAAAAAAACAAAAGGCATTTTCCAGATATTCTTGCACATTTGTAATAGTTAAATTAACAAATCTGACTCCAGATCTAAAGTGGCATTTTATGGATTACTTTAAAAAAGTACTTATGTTTCAACCTTAAGACTGCTTAAGGACATGCAAGCAGTTGATTAAATACAAGCCATAGTCTTTAACATCACTGCTATATATTCATTGTTCTGTAACTGACTTACTAAGGAGTTTGTATTTTGCTAAAGGCAAATGGTTTGGCTAAAGTACTCTGCTTAAAAATGAGAACACCTCACTCTTGAGCTGTCACAATTTGCTAGCATGCCTTTCTTTTTGGGTTGTATTCCAATAGGCCTAGGCATTCCAAAAAACTCCTACTACAAATCACAGTGTTATAATTGCAGGAAGAAAAACACTCATCATGCGCAAAATAATTGGGCTGGAGACAGAAACTGATAAAACAGAGCTGTGTGTCTGCTCATCTTCAAACTCTGCCTTCACGCATAGTGAACTTTGAGAGTTTCAGATCACTGCAATTGCAGACGAGTGAGAAGACGAGCAACACTGAACAGCAGATCAGCATACACAATCTGTTTGATCTTCTTGATACCACTGTGTTGCTGCAGCAACAGAGAGAGCTTTGCACTACTTTTGTCCCTACAAAGCCTATAAAAACTGGTACAGGGAGTATCAAAGCATCCCTTCTGCAACCACTGCACCCTTCAGAAGGGGTAGTTGCCTTCCAGGGCCTCGAAAGACACCTCACTTGGATCTAAAGCTTTGCATTTCCCTATTTCACAAAGCTTACAGTTTACATAAATATTAAGAGAACATCACCATATTTCATGCAAGAGAGAGCACGGCCGGAGAGCAAAAATAAGGTCATGTCTTCATTTTTATTTTATTTTTTTTTAATCATACTGCTGCACTGTCCCATACAGAAAGCAAACAGAAAGTGTACTTCAACTGAAACATCCTGTTACTGAATTTAAAAGCGTGATCTTTAGAGTTTTCTACCTGAGCTATCCTAATATTCCTACACCTCAATAAAACTATAAATCCTACATGTTTTCACCCCCCTGTCCATGTCAGGAAAAACGTGGAGCTGTTGGAGAGGGTCGAGAGGAGGGCCACGAAGATGATTCTTAGGCTGGAGCACCTCTCCTCTGAACAGAGGCTTAAGGAACTGTGCTTGTTCAGCCCAGAAAAGAGGAAGCCACAGGGAGACCTCATTGCAGCCTTCCAATATTTACAGGGAGTAAACAGCTCCATGCCATTCCCTCACATCATGTTGCTGTCACCAGAGAGCAAAACTCAGCACTGCCCGTCCACTCCCCCTCTGAGAAGCTGCAGCCGCCACAAGGCCTACCCTCAGCCTGCCCTGTTCTGGGCTGAGTGCACCTAAGAATCTCAGCTGTTCCTTGTAAGTCTTGTCCTCTAGTCCTTCCACCATCTGAGTCCAATCCATCATTCAACTGTTAGCCTGTTCTAGTATGTACTTTTTACACTGGATATTTTGTCCAGAAGGATACTGTGAAAAACAGCTTTGCTGAAATTCAGAAAGATTATATCAACTGCCTTATCTTGGTCAGATATGTGGGTAACCTCATCATAGAAAGTAATTAACTACATAAAACAAGACTTTCTCCTCAAGAATCTGTGTGGGTTATGAACAGTGATTGCATAGTCTTTTAGGTGTTTTTCAGCAACTCACATAATGACCTTCTCACAATTTTATCAGGCACCAAAGTGAGACTGATGTAGGTACCAGGGTCTGCTTTCTTGAAAACAAGGACAATATCTGACACTCCCAGTCAAATGGGTAGTCTCCATATTCCCAAGGTCATAGCAAAAAAACTGAGAGGTCTTGTGATGACATCAGTTAAGTAAGTAAGAATGGAGTGAATTTTATAACATGCTGTTATGTCAGAGCATGCCACTGAAGAAACATATTCCCAGCTACAGGCAACTAAAATGGTTAATATCACAAAGCACAAGCAGACCGCAAGTAACTACTGACATAGTAAAACTCTCTATATAACATTGCAACTTTTCAATCTTTTTTCCATATTACCTTGTTTATAGCATATATCATTTGTTGAGTTGCTGTTTTTTTTTCTCTGAAATGCTTAGAAACCCACCAACACAATAAAAGTTCATATTTTTCCTACACATAATTACCTCTATTACATTATAACATTGCTCAAATGCCTCTTATTGTGCTACTTGGTTAAAACTAACAGAATGTAGAAGGACTTTATGAAATTCTGTGGATATTAGTTAACCATACTTCCCAGCTCTCTCATAACAGTCTGAATCCACATGTACCTTCGGGTACTCTTCCAGGTTTTTTAGATATATTTCCTATAAATAAATATATTACTGGCATTCTAAATATTATCTAATCACTGACCAGAGCCATAGTCATCTTGATTTTTTGATAAGCATGTTCCCAAAGCTGTTTTTACTCATACAGAGACATGGACCATACTTGTCCTCCCACTGAAGACCCAACTGTTCCATGATCCAGGATGTCAACATTAATATAAATGAGAGCCCCTATCTGTAGATTCTTCTTCTCTCTGAGTGGAATTTAGTACTTCACTTTCTCAGTAAGAGAGGTGTGAAAAACTACAAAACTCCAAATCTGCATTCTGCTTTAGTACAGAATTAAGGCACCCCTCATGTCCTGCAGTGACAGTATTCCAGTTGGATAACAAACAGTAGGACAAGAGGATTTGTGTAATCTATGAAAAAGACAAGAGTGTGAACACTGTACCATTGATAAAAGGCAGAAGGCTGCAAGACAAAGATGGCAACACACATCAACAATTAAATTAAGTCATCTGCAAGCTGCTATGCAGCACACACATCTGCAACGTCTGCATTTGTAAGATTCCAGTTATACTGCAGTTGCTTTTCTTAATTCTTTCCTGTTTGAAGAATATTGAAGATCTCATGTAGGAATGTATTTACCTTTACATGGGCACTTGAGTAAATAGGAAGTCTAAAATCAAACTCGGTTCTGATTGGCTGGCTACATCAAGGGTAGGTGGTGAGTCATAGGTATTGCCATGACTCATAAAAAGCTAAATATTCTATTTTAAAGGCATTTAGATATAATTTACATTAAGGCTGTTAAGTATGAATGTTTTCAGGTTTAAAGGGAACATCATAAAAACAACTTCAACAGTGCTGTATCAGTGCCTATCATTTAACACACCTTCCAAACTGCATAGCCTTTGCATGACTGTTCGTGCATTAAAATGCCAATTTAGAAACACAACAGCGACGTGAGATCTCTCCCAGCTATATGTTTATATGAAGAACCTAACCATTGCTACATCCTCACAGCCTGTTCCAGAGAGTGCAAGCACAGCTCTAAATCTGAAGGCAGAAACGGAGGCACAAAAATAAAATAAAATCAAATAATTGTTATATAAGCTAAATTAGTCAGATATTGTCTCCATCCTGCTTACTGTCTCAAGCCTTAAGCACAAATGAAGACACCAAACAGGCCTTCTCTTCCTATTCCTTTCCTTCTCTACTCATCTATCTATAAAGGATGCTCTTAAAGCTGAACTCTGTCAGGAGAGTGATTTAAATCCTAATCATCAAAATAATAATGTGATTGAAACAGATGAGCAGGCATGGAAGAAATATTTTCAGGAAAGCAAACCTCCATTAAAAAAACTTTCTTGTTGAGTAAGTCTATTAACTTTGGATAGATTCCCCCCTTTCAAGGAACTCTTTGTCCATTTAACTGGCATCATTTACTGAACTGCCCTTTTTAGCAGAAAAATAACAAACAACACTGTGTTACTGCAGTCTTTTCCCAAATTCACTGAATTATCTAGTGTCTGAGCCTAAAACCTTAGAACATGATATAGAAGTATTTAAACCAACTGCCTTCAATCTAAAAAAAAAAAAAAGCATGAAATTAAAAAAGAACAAGATCAAAAGAACGATACTATTTGTAGCCATCTCCCCTATGCTCACTGGTCATAATGCTGACATTTATAAATTTGACTGGAAATACACTTGATTGGAAATACAATTCGAACACAATATGCGTAAGTTTAAACAGCCAGCACTTAACAATTGGAACAATTTTCCAGTGAAAAGAAGAAGAGAAATTAAAATACAAATACGGCACACAATCCCACAGACGAGAAATACTTTATACATACAAAAAGAAACAAAAGAGCTCTCTTACTTCAGATTTAGAAGACACGTTTTCCTCCACGTCAGAATCATTGGGGTCTATAATATCATCAAATGGTGGCAGAGTAGATGTCTTCTTTTCCAGTGTATCACTTTCAATTTTGACTCTCCCCATCTTAAGCTGAGGCCTGTCCTTTGTTTGTTTTTTGTCAGCTGAACAAGTAAGAATTAGTGATGGAGCATTAGAAAAGCTTTTAAATAATGACTCTGGCACACTTTTTTTTCTCTTTTTTGCAGAAGGTTCATCAGAATCCAGAATGGAGGGCCTTTTTGTAGGAGTCTTCTTTTCTTGCTGCTGTCCACCTGTAATGGTAAGGATGGCAGTGTTTTCAGATTTTGGCTCCTTAGACATGGATTTGGGTTCCTTGAAGGCCATCTTAGGAACCATTTTTTCATCTTTTAATGGTTTATTTTCTTTGGGTTTCTTAGAGGATTCTTTGGAAGATTTGTTGTGTTCCCTGGAAGGTTCTTTGAAGGCACTTTTTTGTTCTTTTGAGTCTTTAGAAGTTTTCTCCTTGTGCTCCTTTGTTAATTTGTGGGGCTTTGAAAAACTGTTACTACTGCTGCTACTGCTATTTATGTTCAGAATCTTAGTTGGGTCCTGCAAAAAGGAGATACAAAACTTTAAATAATAAAAAAAAAGATAACGCAGACACAAGATTCATGTCAGAAACTTTAAACTGCAGTGTGAAAAAAGGAACAGTAAATGACCATATAAGAATTGATAGATAAACTATTACAAAGTTGTGGAGCATGAGCAGTTATTACTGCCTTCTAGCATTTGCAAGACAAAGCTTAGTTTTTATCTCTTAAGAATCAGATATGGCCTTTAAGAAACATTTTAAGGTGAACATAAATATCAGTTAACATTTCCTAAACTATGACCATTAAATTTCAGGAAAAAAAATCACAACAAAAGATCATCATATGAATCACATGCTGTTAACAGAATTACTTCAGGACCAGTGTAAAACATGTCCTCCTACTGATATTTCAGGCAGAGCTTAAGTACCATACTGTGATCCCCTCTTCAACTTTAGCTAGAGCCTATCCTTTATACAGAATGGTAACTGTGGATCCAGTCTGGCTATGTCATACATAATTTGACGTGCAACATCTCAGTAGTAAATGCTGTTTAACAGAAAGCCTCTACTAAGAAGGCTTTCCTTCTTTGTATTTACTATTGCTTATATTGAGCATTTCATTGCATTTTTTAAATTCAGTAGTTATACAATGAGATGGATCTCTGAGAAGGTGACAACTCAGAGGTCCTATAAGACAGAGAAAAAGAGAAAACTTAAACGTTGGGCAGAAACATCAACTGACCATGCAAATCTCGACAAAATAATCATCCCTAATTGACTGAAGATATGCGGACAAAAAGAGGATTGTCTCAAAAGTAAAATACAGTGCATTATGGATTAATTCTAAAAGCATTTCTAATGCTTGCTAAATGGAGAGCCCATACCTAGTTTTAGAAAGTAAAAATGTTCTACCAGTAACCTACAACACAAACATGGTGGGGAAGAATCAACCTAGAAAATAAGAGTGAATGGAAACACTATTTTTTTTTTTTTTTTCTCATGTAGACCTGTTTTAAATTTTGGGAGAAAAAACTAATTTAAAAAACTGAAAACTAAATAATTGCAAAATAGTTTGAGGAAAAACTTCTGCAGCATAGCCTAAATTTTTTTATCACAAATAAACAGAGTGGGTCTGTGATTAGCAAGTCAATTTTGAAATCTCCATATATGTATACACTAATACAAATACTAATATCTGCTAGTATCCCGAACTAATGAAAGATGTATTACTTTGAAACACAAAGTCGTAAATACAAGTCACTATATTTCTAAACAATAAACAAGATTCTGGTGACATATGAACATATGAATGTGAGGCACTTCCTTGTTTCCCGCGCCAGTAATTAAAAACAGAAATCCCATTTCCATCCCTAAGTCTCCTAATACTACAACAGGCAATTAGTATTCCATCTGGGAAAAGAGGAAAATACCTGTACTTGTACTTGTTACTAGCAAAGCAATACTTCACCTAGCACCGATTCTCACTTACATCCCTGTTCTGCTTTATTTTGATGCAGCTAACAGTAAGTTTACACTAAAGAAACGTTCTTACCTATTGATATCACTGGACTATGTCACAATCTAAAATATGCCTAGAGAGACCTTTCTTCTCAAGTTATTTCCCAGGAAAAGCCTTATTGGCTCAAATATTTTCTATTCAATTAAGTCTCACCTTTGGCCCATGAGATGCTTTCTTCTTCACTTCAGAAAAAGATAGGGAGTTACTAGGAAGGTTCGGAAGATGAAGGCTCTGCCCTGAAGAGAATGATGTGCCATCTGTCATAACCATAATCTGTTACAAGAGGGAAAGCATGTTAAGTCAATTACTACCAACAATCTCAACTAAGTAACCTGCAAATCACTTCAGTATGAAAACAAAATTCATACAGCAAACAGTATCCTTGTTTCTTTTCAACAAGGAATGAGTTAATGAAACCACTCGGCCATCCACTATTGAATGAATAAATCATATCCTTCAATTTCCATACAACTACAGTGCACCCTCAGAAAACTGCAAAACTTCTTCTACAGTTTTTTATACGGCATTGTATACTTAGGCTTCTTTCCCTTGTCGCAAGCAATGTCTGGCAGAACACTTGAATGTCTGTCCTACCTGCTCTAGAAATATCTGCAAGCTACTGATGTCCCATACAGAAATATAGAAATGTGTGTATGTCTTTTCTCTCCACTAAAGCAATACAACAGAAGATCGTTGGGTAAAGGTGGCAAGATTGTGGTGGCAGGGGTGACCTCAGAAAAGAGACCCATACTGGACAGAGAGAGTTTCAGTTAGCTCCAACAGCCTCACAGCAGGACTTAGCTGAATGCCAAAGCAAAGCTAGTTATGCCTCCAGGAAAAGATTTAAGGCTGAGATGGAGAAAATCAAGTGGTAAGAAACTGCAGTGCAAATACCCAAGTTGAAGAGGAAGCAAGGAGAGAAAATGCTCCAGGTGTCAGAGAAGGTATTTATCTGCAGCCTGCGGAGAGAACCATTCTAAAGATATTCATACATAGCCCAGAGAAGACCATATACCAGTTCAGATGGATATATCTAGAAGGGCTAAAGCACACGGAGAGCCCACACTAGAACATTTCTTGAACTGTGGTCTGTGGACAGAACCCACACCAAATCAAGGCAAAAGCTTAGAAGAGGAAGGAGCAACAGAGGACTGTTAAGTTCTCCCTTGTACTGCTCATGGAGTAGGAAGAGAAAGAGGTGACAAGAATGAAGGACTAATGTGGATCGTGGGAAGGAGGAGAAAGGAAAAGGTGTTATGATATTCAATTTTTAACTTCAAGCTTGTGCTTTACCTAGTGTGCAGTAAATTGGAAGACTGGTGACCAAACATTTTTGCTGTAATGAGGGTCTAACTGCCTGTCTTGATTTCAAAGGCTCCTAAGTACAAACTGATAAACCTCAGGAACCAGAGATAATTCAGCCAATCGTAGAATAGTGCCCTGTGGTTAGCACATTCAGTAGCAAATCTATGGTATAGATATGTATGCTTCGTATTTTAACTCTCCAGTCAATACAAGTCAAGAGGGGCTATTATTTACTATTCACTGCTTTTTCAAGTCAGGATTTCAATTTCTTTGGTAATTCATTTATTTATTAAACATAAGCTCAAAATAAATCTTTTTGCAGTCAACATTGTTCAAAAGACATTGTGATAGCCTAGAGAATATTAAGGGACATGCCTAGGTAATAAGTATTACTTTTTTTTTTTGCCTGTAACTTCAGCATGTGTCAACACTGCAACTACAATTCTGGGAAGGATAATAAAGCAACTTAAGTCAAAACATAGGTTCCTTCCTTTTCCGTAGGCTCATGTAATAAAAAAATATTTTTAAAAATTATTAATGTATTCAGCAAATGTTGTGAAGTAACATTCCACACAGGGCACAGAAATTTAATCCCATTTCCCTTTTTCATTTCTCAGATTGATAAACCAGAGCATACGAGACAGGAATTCGAACACCAACAAGGCAGAAAACAGTGGCATCCATCTTGTAGTCACAGCAAAGTCAACTTGTGGCAGCAAAGTCACAACTAGCCATTGTGAATCACAGTAAGAACATTTTTGGCCTCATGAGTACTATATAATCTCATCTTACCTAGGCTTTTGGCTGAATTCAGCACAGCTGAACACAAGGAAGAGCAGAAGTAACAGATAATCAATGATAAGAAAAGTGTAGCTGCATATAAATATCTATTGTGGTTTAAGCCAGCAGTTAGCCATTTGCTCACTCTTGCACAGTGGAACAAAGAGAGAATGGAAACAAACAAACAAACAAACAAACAAACAAAAAAAAGAGGTAGAAAGGCTGAGATAAAAACAGTTTAATAGGACAAAAATAAAAGGGAAAATTAAATAAATAAGAATAACACATAAAACAAGTAATGCACAATGCAATCATTCATCACTTGTTGACTGATGATAAGCCAGTGTCCAAGCAATCTTCCTTGGCCAACTCCCCCCCCATAGTTCAATATGATGCCATTTGGTATGGAACACCTCTTTGGCCAGTTTGGGTCACGATTTAGTTTTTGTCTCCTTCCAGCTCCTCACACTCATCCCCTCAGCTCCAGTCTCCTTGCTGGCATGAGAGTATGAAAAGCTGAATTGCCCTTGGCTCTGTGCTGCACTGCTCAGTGTGTTTCTCCTAAATCCAAAACACAGCATCAAACTATCTATCCCAGCTGAAGCCAGGACCATACCATAAGCCTGTATAACAGATAATGATAGAGACAAATTCATTTTCTCTATCTCCCCCCAAAAAAAACAATCAAGTGGATTGTTAACTACGATTGTTCTCCTTTAAATTGAACTTAATGAAATGTCTTAAATCCACCAACTTCATCACAAAGAACACCACTTGCATTAAAACTAATTAATCTTTCAGCAAAAGCAGATACAAGATTACCCATTATTACAGAGTTTAAGCAAATATTTTCTTGAAACAAGCAGTTCTGTTCACTCACTCATGCAAGAAAATGGTATATAGGTATGTTGTGCAGAAACAAGTCTGGAAGATGAGGTTTTTCCTATCTTCACAAATAAAAGCAAAGAAACAAAAAATGCTGCTAAGAATCTTTCTCCCATAGTTGGAAGCTGCCATTTTCTCCCTAAAGTACAGAATTCTGACTCATTAGAATAAGTTGAAATTCAGCAATTGCACAAATTTTCTTTTTTAAAGTTATGAAACATTTCAGTTTTGAAATATTTATATATTTTGTATTTCTATTATTTGTATAATACATATTCTTAAAAAGCTGACATTTAAAAAAAATATATACGGACTTCTCAGATAACTCAGTTTCTAGACAAGTATTAAAGTATTATTTGGATCATCAACAGCCTCAGCATGCAGATTATATATTTAGAAATAGGATGGCTCTCTAAAGAGAAATCTACAGGGCTTGGACATTAGTACCATCTGAGGCCAGGTAACTACAGCAAATCTGTCATAGTTCTACACATATGGTTTTTTGAAAACAAAACCTGGACATTCCAAATAGCGAGCCACAGAAATTTCAGATTATTAACTCCTGTAGCCTGTTGGTTCATTATAAAGCCCACCAAAAAAAAGAGGCAGTTGTAGATTCAAACTTTTATTTTATGTGATTAATAATGTGTGTGATAAGCAGAAACCAGTTTGTCATTCCAGATCAGCTCTGTAAATATGACAAAACACCAAGAAAGTCTTCCACAAGTTTCATTTCTTGGGTTCTCTGATAAAATACACACTTCTACCTTCCAAACTGATCACTGTCAGAAGATTTGTTCCTGATTAAGATCTCCTAAATCAGAGAGAATCACTGGTCTTCTCCCTCTCAAAGAATAAAGTCAACATTAACAACAGCTTTTTTACAGCTCTTCTAAAATGTTTGATTTTGGTGAACAAAACATCAAAAAAGAGCAAAAAGCCTCCAGAAGCATATATATTTTTAAGTGAAATGCATTTCCTCTGTGGCTAAACTTAGGAAAGGGACAGTTATATACATCCAGTTTAAACACTACCAGTGAAATAAATGAGCTGTCAGAATTGCAGCAGCTTCTACAGTAGGTTACTGTTCATATGTTTGTACATATGTATGTAGCTACTACATTAAGCCAAACCTACACAAAAGGAGCAAAAGATGAGAGCATATAACAACGAGATAACTGCATCAAGAATGCAAGGTCATCAAAAGAAAAGTAAGAAGTCTCCATTACATCCACTCTTTTTGGAGGTTTTTTTTACTCATTTCCTGCTTTCTGCACTGTAAATCCCCTGCCAGTTCAGAACTGCAGGGAAGAGTTTACCCTAGAAGGGCATCATAACCAATGCTTAGGCCAGGAATCCAAGACCAGCCAGGTCTGGTACTGCCATGCTCTATAATTAGTTTGGAGACAGAAGATAGCAAAAGCATTTATTTATCTTCTCAATTGTTGCACAAGTTACAGATGATCAGCTCATTAGGATCAGACAAACTGGTGGGATTAGATACCAGTAAGGATATCAGTGACGTAAGGTGAGATGAAAGAGGTAAGAACCTAGTGAGTAAGTTAAACAGCCATGTCATGACAGCATGAATTCATCATTACATAAAGCATGAAGTTCTAGTTATAGCCTTGCTATTGCCTCAGAGATTTAGCTTAATACTGACTATACTCAAGCAGAGCAAGGTCTAGCTAAGCTCACAGCATGTCTTTGATGTGCTCAACAGGAACAGTTACAGGAAATATACAAATAGAGGACAAACTGCAGTGTTATTCCTTTCTCTAACACTTTTCCCAGTATTATTCCTACCTCCTTTCTGGATTCCTTTCAGTAAATAATACCAGTTCACAGAATTTCTCCACCAGATACTGAATCTACACTATTATTTTTAACAGCTTCAGGGTAGTTCATTATACAAACTGTTATGCCCTCATCTCATTGCTTTATATTCATTCATATTTATTTCCTGGATCTGAAATGCATGGCAGTGAATTCCACTACTAATCATGCATCTTCAAAAAAAAAGAACAAAAAAAAAAACCAGAATCATAGCATGTTTTGGAGTGGAAGGGATATTTAAAGACCATCCAAGTTCCAATTCCATTGCCAATCTGCCACCCACCAGATCAGGCTGCCCAGGGTCCCATCCAACCTGGCCATGAATGTCTCCAAACATGGCGCATCCACAGCTTCTCGGAGCAGCCTGTGCCAGTGTCTCATCACCCTCTGAGCAAACAATCTCCTCACATGCTATAAGATGAAACATTCAGAAATCAAAGTGGGAAAAAAGGAGGGAGAGGAGGGTC